AAAATTAATTCACACAAAATCATAGCATACCTGCGCTCGTGTTCGGGCGTCCACTTAGCAATCAACGCATAACAGGCCGGGAATAGCACACTCTGAAAGGCACCCAACACTACACGGCTAGTGATGAGTAGCCAATACATGTTGGCCCGGGCTATGAGAGGTGTCAGTGCGTTGATGACGGCGCTCATGGCCAGACTCACGGCGCACAACCATTTGGCGCCAAACAACTCGGCTAACCGGCCGCCCAGCACCTGAAACGCTACGTATCCGTAGAAAAATGCGCCCAAAATGACACCCTGGGTCTGTTGATCCCAATCAAACTCGCCGTTCCCTACCTTTCCCTCATTTGTATTCACTGTACTATCGACAATGGCGCAGACATCGCTTGAGCTACCGTTCCCGTGATTACTGGACTCACTGTCGTTATACATAGACATCTCGACGATAGCTATGCTTAAGTTGAACCGACAGTTGTATGTCGTGAATGTGGCCAACAGTACGACTGCGGCCATAATATAGCGCACCGGTAGTCGAGAACTGGATGTTGTTTGTCGGTTGACATTGTGACACGAATCGTAATTAACATTATTATTACTGCCAAATTGTAGTATGGGGTCACTTGAAGTGTTCATGATAAATTATTAAATACTAAGTTAATAATATGTTGTTGCAAAATATTTTATATTGCAGAAAGTGAATATAAATAATCAAGGTAACATTTCGGAGGCTTAACTTAGTAGCAAACTCTTAGAAAATTATAACTAATGTATTAAATGATAAGTAGGATTTGATATAGATAATTAACCACTTGTACTTGCTAAGTAGTTTTTAGAATTTGAGTACAATATTGTCAATTGATATATCATATAATTATATAATTAATTATATAATTGATTATAAAATTAATCAAAATTTTTACATTTGTGACATTCAAATATAAAATGCACAACAATATTGTTCATCAAATCATCATCAAATGTTTATTATATTCATACTCGTTGATCATGGTTAAGTATGAATACATGTGATTTATTGGCTAATCATCACATTATCACATCTGCTGATTAGATTAATAAATATTTATAAGTGCTTACAGCACCAAGTACATTACGGTTATGATAAATAAATGATGATCATGTACAATTGAGATTTCAAATTATTTCTACCAATAGTGACATACAGCAGTAATTTTTCACCTTAATAAAAATAAATTTTATAACGACTAATAAAATATACTCATTTTAAAAATATTAATTTAATTTAATTGTATATTGTAAATCCAGTCATACAGTACTTGTTAGATAAGATACACAAATTGTTTACAAAAGATTGTGTGTATGTAATATGTGTAGACCTAAAACCATTTAAACCTTTTTGCTAAATAGCGTTTACTGTATATAAAATATTTGTTAAACTTTTATAGTGAATATCACAATCATTTCATATAAAAGTTTAATAAAAGTATGATAGAAGTTTAATAAATATTTTATATACAGTAAACGCTATTTAGCATAAAGGTTTAAATGGTTTTAGGTCACACATATATTTACATTTATCTATGTTTACAATTAAATTGATTAAAATAAAAATTACTGCACATATATTCTAGGTATTAATATTTTGAGTGGTAATTTAAACTGCAAACAAATTCATTATGTATTAAAATTAAATAATACAATACATTAGTTATTGCAACAAAATTACAATACCTAAAATAACATCCAGTAACTTTTAATAAAATGTATTATACAAAGTAGATAAAGTGATAATTTAAAGACATTGAGTACTATTCGTGGAAAATACTAAACTAATATCAAACAAGGATATTTTTTTTTATAAATGTGGGGAGGGAGAAAACTTGAAAAGTTCATTTCTAATTAAAAATTATTAATATGAAAAAAGTATTTTATTTCATATTACATTAATATATTAATATACCACTGTATTGAGTTCACCAATTATAGTGACAATTAAAGTCCTAACAAATCAGTATAAATGAGTCCCTCGACGGCAACCATATCTGGCACTACATCCGTGAAGTATAGCCGCAAATGAGTTGATTTAATACCCAATTCACGCTCAATATGTTTGGCAAATAAGTCGACAGTATTTCGGTTCTCATTAGCGGTCACTCGACCCACACTTTTAAGCTCCCCATACATACAGTGCTCACTACTTTTTGGATCATTACCTGGGTCACATGAAAACAATAGAATTTTAATTAATAAATCTAGCAAATTATATTATATCCACTACATACCAACAAAAATATCTTGATCAGTTTGAATATGGATTTCCATGCGCTGGTAGGGTTTACACCTTAATACTTGAGTCAATAATAGTGCTGTTTTATGTTTAAAATCTTTGGGTATTTTATCAGCCGGTACAGTTGTGGCTAACTGTAACAATGGCATTCTGGGGTTTAGTAATTTATTTGATGTTTTTATTTAAAATTAAATTAAAATTTTCAATTATATATCAAGTCCTTTTATATGATCTTGAGATATCTAAACAAGTAAGCTTTATTGAAATGATTTCACATGTTTGAATGCAATAATTAATATTATATTTGCCTGCTGATAAAATATTACTATACAATAATATCACTAATATTACTATAAAATAATGATTAATTTGTCCTCACGTATAATGTCCTGCAAAATATCAGATTAATGATCATTTAATAAACACATGTACTCTAATCTACTATATGCTATATTTTAGGTTNCCTCACGTATAATGTCCTGCAAAATATCAGATTAATGATCATTTAATAAACACATGTACTCTAATCTACTATATGCTATATTTTAGGTTTTTATACAAAATTCTTATGAAAGTAAATATTTGACATTCAAATGTCTGGTTTAATATCTAAATATGATTTAAGATGTGTGTTATCATTTATTAAATGTACCCAAAAATTTCCATTTCACAATAAGTACACGGTTACACTTTAAAATTGTTTGATTATTGCATTTGGGTACAAATTAGGTGTACATTTTTATCAATATAAATAGACTACATTCTTAAACAATTTGAAAGTCTAATTTAATAAAGTATGCCCTTGTTAAAGTTCTACACGACTCTCCCTGCTCAACAAATACCAGACGATTTCAAATTAAAAACGGCTCATATATTGACACAAGTATTGAAAGGAAAGCCATTTGAAAAGATTGCCATTCATATTTTAACTGATCAAGACATATTTTCAGGTAATAAATGACTCTCTCTCTCTCTCTCTCTCTCTCTCTCTCTCTCTTTCTTTCTTTCTTTCTCTCTTATGGTAATATTGGCACTATTGTCACGTCAGCCCTAACCGGGTATTTAACTGAGGAGGGCTTTGCAGGGGGCTGGCCCTCAGTCTTTTATGTGTCAGGTAAGCAAGGGCAATTAGCATAATTAAATTAAGAATAACTTATTTAAACCCACTAATTACTATTTTTCAAAATAGCCTTAATGACTGGCGTTGTATGCGTGATCTGGGTGCTATTAATTCAAAGTAATCCAAACCAACATCCCTGGGTGTCGGACAGTGAACTTGAAGTTATTAATCCTGATATTTATGGCAGTAATGCAAATAGTAGTAAAATAGCCCAAAGTAAAGTTAAACCACCGGTGCCTTGGATTCAGATATTTACATCACTACCGGTGCTCTCATTAATTATCGTGAAGTTCACAATCAACTGGAACTCAATCATGATGTTACTTAAATTACCCTCGTACTTAAAAACTGTTTTTAATTATTCAGCTGAGCAGGTTAGATTAAAGATATAAATATATAATTCATATTATGATTATTATTTTAATAATACAGAATGGCCTTATTAATTCCGGTGTAAATATTACCGTTCCCATTGGGTAGGGCAACTAAATCAATATTTTAAAATACTAGTCAAGCTTAATAAAATAAATTTATTTCATAGACTATTTATTGGTGGTTTTTTGTCTGATTATTTGGTCAGCAAAAAACATATCGACAAAACACTAATACGAAAAATATTTCAATCGTTGGGTTTGTTATAAGAAATAAGATATTCTTAACTATTATTTGACAAATAATTGTCTCATAACAGCGACAATAGGATCGGCTATATGTTTGGCAATCATACCATTAGTGAACTGTAATAATACTCTCGTTATAAGCCTACTCATAATTGTTTGTATTTTGCATAACATTATAATTTTTTATAAAATGACTCCTTATTATTTAATTGTATCAGGGTGTATTTTTATACGGACTTCGCGGTGGTGGGGACGTGCCCACTGACGCCGGTATATTTGATCTCACATTAAATGTTAAAGTTTTGAAAACTACTTATTTATACATCAATAGATATGACATCCAACTACATGGGAACGGTATTTGCGATCGCTAACTCCATAGCCTTTACATGCGGTATAATAACCCCATTGGTGATCGGGGTAATAGTGGGCGATACCAATGAGCACACCCGTAGGCAATGGGGTTATGTTTTCTATATGTCGGCCGCACTTAACATATTCGGTGGACTCGTATTCATTATTTTCGGGTCAGCTAAACAACAGCCATGGGATATACAACCTGATAATGACCGGCACCTGGAGCTAAGTCAATGAGGAGTTAGTACAGGGATTAAAAATGAGTTTCTATTTAGGTATTTAATGATTATCATTAGTATTTATTTATTACATTAAGAAATGCATACAGAATGACATTAAGTATAATACAGAATATTAAAGAATATTTTTTTATAAAGTTTTTATTTGCTTTATATTTCATGACTTGGTTGTTGTAATAAAATATTTTGTATTTTATTTCTACCAGTGTAGACATTTTGAAAAATAAGTTTTGCATTTAGTTTATAAAATAGTTTATAAGTTTTGTTTGTCTCATAATTGACTGTCGATGACATGTATAATATAAAAGCAAATTGCACTGCATTTGCTAATAATGAATTTAGTATTATTATAAAATCAATTAATTTTAATGATTGGTACAATAGTATGAATAATATAATAACTGTATTTGTGCCTAATAATAGCCAAATTGTTATTAAATATTTAGATAGATAAGTGGCATTATAGTCGTATATCTCATCGAAAATATTATTTAATGAATGCATTGTTGAACTAATATATTGTATATTAAATTGATAACCTTTATTTATATGGTTTGAAATTTTATTATTAATTAAACTAATTTTGCATTTAATATAATAACACAATAGAAAGTAGTGAACAAGTAACCACATACTATAATTAAATGTATAGTAAGCCGAAAACACAAATATAATAGTATTCGGAATTCCGTACAGAATTGCATTAAATATACCAAACTTTCTAATATAAGTTGGTATTAAAAATAGCATAAATTGTATTGTCAAAAATTTTATGTTTAAGTCTGTTATCTTAAACAATATTTTTGTCATTTTTGCTAATTTAACGACTATTTTATCATCAATGAGACCAATATGTGCCGGAGTAGTCATTCCCGATAACATAGCAAACAGAGATAGAAATGTGGGTTTAATACCCTGTTTATAGTTTATGTAGAATATTAATTTATAGCTTATGTTCATCGTTACCCAGCACAGTGCAGACAGATTAATATGCTCGGTAACATTAAATAGATATGACATATCACCAAGTATAATTAGTAGGGTAGTATTCTTACGGGTAATCATACCAATAATTAATTTAGTAATGAATACCCATAGAATTGTATTAATTATTATGGAATTGTGCAATAAACTCCTATTGCAAGTATCATATGGTGTATGACTTAAACCAACCTTGTACAATTTGTTTGCAGGGCCAGGAGTTAATAGATTCTTGGTAATTTTTGATTAATATTAATCATGATTAAATGATGTTTGTATTAATAACTTGTTAACTTTAAAGGCTATAAATATTTTTGAAGTTA